GAAGATGATGGAGGCGTTCTTGAAGCAATTCCCAGAGCATAACTTCGACGACGACGACGAGGAGTAGTTCTTTTTATTTCTTGTTTCTGTTTTGAATATTACTTTTTAACATTATCTATATTATGTTTTTATTTGAATTTCAATTTTCAATTTAAAAATTTTAAATTTTAATTTTGAATTTTAATTTTTTAAAAATAAAATTATATTATTTTAAAAAAAATTAAAAATTACGAAATTTCCGAGGAATGATATTCCTCGGAATATTCTGAGGGAAAACATTCCTCGGAATCTCCGTCGGAATATTCTCAGGAATATTCCGAGGAATACCTTTCCTCGGAATTTACCGAGAGATTGAAGTCCTCGGAATATTCCGACGGATGGCTTCCTCGGAATATTCCGAGTAGTTTCTTCTCTCGGAAATTTTCGTTGAAATTCCGACAAACGGTTCCATCGGAAAACATCCTCGGAATGTCCTCGGAATATTGTCCGTCGGAATGTCCTCGGAATATTCCCAGGAAATTCCGACGAAACCTGCGATTCCGAGGAGATTTTTCCGAGGGAAATTGTTTTCGGAATATCGTCGGAATCGCCTGATTCCGACGACATTCCGAGGAAATCGTCCCTAGGAATCGATGTGTTTTCTTGTAGTGTTTGAAACATCAATTTTCTCTAGAACATCGTATATTATGGAACGGAGGGAGTAGATCGTTACATTGACTAATTTATAATTTAATAGGTAGTGAAATCACAGATAATTTGAATGCTCATACTGCTTAATAATTCGGTTTTAAAAATCTATAAATAGTAACAAATTATTCTCACTAAAAGATGAAAAGATGATGTCATCTTTTTATAGGAAAAAATTAAATTTAATGGTGGAATTTGTTCTTAATTTATAATCTAATGAATACGCTTATCTAGGGTCCTCTGTATGACGTTATAGTTACACTTGACCAAAAGACATGTTCATTCAATGTATAATTGTATTTTTCAGACATTTAACCATTTCATTAATTCTTTTCATATTCAAAAAGTTTTGCATTTTCAGAATCTTAATTTTGAACTGTTTATAGTAGAAACCTTATAAAAAATCATTTACTGAAACAAAAAAAATATTCACTGATAAGTTATATTTTCAGAAAATTAACCATTAGACCCTCTAATTGAACTCTTCATAATTAAAAAAAAATTATATATTATTCAAAATAGAAACTTTTGAAAATTATATATGACATGATGTCATCTATTCATTTTACAATCTACCGATCTTCATCATAACTCTTTAAAAGCATCCCCTAAACAATTTGTAGAGATTATCTTCTTATTTTATTAAGAGTTGTATCTTTTACGCTCACTACAGCTTGTTTAGGAAAATCACTTCGCTAGCATCCACACTCAAAATTTCAGTCGAACCGTTATCATTTTCCTTTAAGAGTTGTATTTTTTCATAAGTTTATATTGAAGAGATTGTATTGGTTTTTAGTCTTGTTTCAAGTTTTCTCTGATTTTGTCTTGTGCTTCTTATATCCTCTAGTTCCTTGACATTCAATTTTGTTAGTTTATTTTTTCTGCAGCAAATTATTTTTCCTCTCGTCCTTTCTCTTTTTCCGATAATTTTAGATTCGTTCAAGCTATTGAAAATTCTCTGTAATTCGTTCTTCATCAAATTTATTGTCCCTTTGGAAATTTTTACCATTACAGTAAGTATATCTTTTCTTAGATGCTTTTTCATTGTTAGTCTCTGCTGAACTATAATTTCAAAGTCAAGCGTCAACACCAATTAATTAAGAACATCCGTATTGGAGGTTCATAGGGGAGGTTCACACGCGGATCAAGAAAAAAAAAAAGAAAATATGCTGATATTGGTGAACCTGGATCTTGGAGGTTCGTCGGGATGAACCCAGTTCACACGGGATTCGCCACGTGGCGTTTCGGGATTGGTTCGTTATTAATTTTTTTTTTTTTTTAGGAAAAGCAAACAAAAAAAAAAGTTAATTTTTTTTCTATGAACCCGTCCCCATCAGGTTCACTGATGTGAATGCTCTAATTAATGGCAAATAAGCTTTTAAAGACCTTTTTGCGACTGCATGTGGACGTTAGAAAAAACTTGTCGCAAATCATTGTGGTTGCAAATTAGTTGTCAAATAGCGGCTGAAGTGAGACTTCAAAATAAGTAGCTAATTTTGTTACTACTTACTAATGTGACACTACCATCGAAGTCGTAAATGGGAGTCACAATTTGGTGATATTAACCCCAGTGGCTGTTCGTTTGGTGAACGTCCAACTAGCGGCAGCGTCAAAGAAAATACACAGGACGGAAGCAAATTTAACGGCAAGGAAAATGAAAATGGCCGCAAGTGAATTCCAGAAGTACAAAGTACGAGTAACCGCTGTCGCTGGAATATTCGGCATTCCTTCTACTACTCACAATCAGCCGCAGCGTTAAGATAAACAGGCTGAGGTTGTTTTATCAGTGTTGAGGTTTGCTATGTTTTGCCTTGGTTTTCGGCCGCTGACGCTGGACGCGGCGTTCACATAACGAACAGCGCTAAAAGTCGTGGCAAAAAAATTGCAACTCACATATAACCACTTCTGCATATTGTAGACGCATGTAGTTGCAAAAGTTTACGACTAATTCGGGACTTTTGCCCTTTTCTGTTGTTTTACTTTTAGAAAACAATTAAATGTTTAAATTTAATTATTCACTATTAAAATTCGTAAATAAATTTTAAATGGGAAACATTGTTTTGATTTTCTTATTAATTTAAACATCCAGAATACATTAGTTCAATATAATCATTACATAAACCACATAACAGCAAAAGACAATCCAAAATACGATAACTCCTATTGGATCCACTAGTAAAAAACTTGGCCACAGCCACGTTATTTTTCGTAGCTCTCATCCAAATTTCGTAGCTATATGGAGAAGAAGCTACGGAATGCTACGAAAAGTAAACCGTGGTTATTTGAGCATAGCAAGAATTTAGCGCATCAAAAAACGTAGCAACTTGCCACTGTATGCTACGAAACATTCGTAGCAAAAACATAGCTACGAAATGCTATGGTTTTAGCGTAGCAAAAATATAGCTACGAAATATTACGGTACTTTTCGTGGCAAATGGCTACGTTCTCAGAAACGATTATTTCATATCAAATTTGACTTTTTTGGTACGCAAAGTTTCGTAGCTAATTTAAAACTTTTTTAAAAAAATGAAAATATTTAATTTGGGAATGGTAATATACTACAAATAAAAATAATTATGCAAATATCTTAAACCTAATATATTGCATAATAGCAGGAGTTTTACATTGTTCAAAAGATAAGCAAATATATTACACCAAAAAAACATTGTTTAAAAGATTGAAACATCAAATTTTACATACCAAGTTCTCTTTGGCACCACCTATCTAAGTCTGCTTGGTTATCAGTGGTGAGATGTTGTGGCTGAGGATGAGACTGACCTTGAGCTTGAGGCTGAAGCAGACTTGGTTGTGCAGTTGAGGCAGTAGGAATGGAAGCTTGAGGCTGAGGCTGACGCTGAGCTTGAGGTTGACTTGGTTGTGTAGTTGAGGCAGTAGGAACAGAAACTTGAGGCTGGAGACCTTGAGATAGGAGAACTTGCAGAATCATGTCCATACTTGCTCTTGCTGCCGACATCTCCTCCTTGAACTCAGTCTTCAAACCACAAATATCAGCCTTGACTTCAGCAACGGTTGTCTCCACACCACATAGGCGCATCTCCATGTCCAAGTTGCGCTGCAGTGTGACCTGAACTGGAACAGAAGACGTGTCGTTCTTGTACTGAACACTTCCAAGGCCATAGATGGTGCCTTTGTGGGTTAGTCCTCTCTGCAATAGGAAAAGAAAAAACACCATAAGCAAGCAATTACCAGATCCTATCTCAAGTTAAGTAACTAACTAAGCCAGTGAAAGTTTCAATAACTAACTAAGACAAGCATTATCCTATCTCAATCACAGCTCAATCAATTAATCTCTTTTTTTTAACACTAATATTGATTACGAACATAACATGTTACAACCTAGTTCATCATTCAACAAGAACAAATAAACATAATGAAGAGGTGAGAAATTACCTTTGATGTATTCTTGGTTGAGCAGAAGGCGCCTTGAAGTTGGAGTATCAGCAGTAGAGTCAGTTTGACTGTCACAAGTTAATCCATTTTGTATCATCTCTTCAACGGCTTGCTCAACCTCTAGCACCAGTTCCTCAGCACGTTGGTCGATGAAGGAACCATCTTTCCGTGTGTGAGTTTTCCTCACAAGGGCTGTATATGAAGGTGGTTCATCCAAACCTTCATCAACCATCTACAAAAAAAAAATAGAAGGAAGTTAGACAACATTTAAGACTAAAAATTCAGTGATAAACAATTAAATAAAAAACTTACCATCTTATACTCAATATTTAAGAAGGTTCGAGGACCTGCACTGTGCTTGTAAATCTCCTTCTCTGGAGGCGCAGAAGTGCGAGATGCAGCTGCTGACTTGCTCTTCTTTTTTGCTTCGTCAGTGCCCCAGTCCCTAAGGATTGTTGCCCAGTCAATCGGACTGATGTACTTAGGCTGCTTGCCACGAATCCTCTTCTGGCTGATGCGTCCACAGATGGTCACTCGAGTCTGTTTCTTCCATTTCCGGTAGACTAGATCATGAGATTGATCTTCCCAGTAATAGTGTTGCTACAAAATAAGATAATTCATCATTAGCAGTAAATATTACTAAGTAAATTGAGAGTTGAGAAAGGGAAAAGGAGATAGAAAGAACCACTTACAATCGTTTGTCCAAATCTCCAGGTGTGTGGCGATTTGGAAATCGTTAGGGATTTACACAGACTCTGACGAAAAAGCTGTGGAGAGGTTCTTGGAAGTCTTTAACGACGAAACATTCCTTCCTGGTGCTTCTATCCTCTTCGATCTCTCCCCAAAAGGCTCTCTAACAGTAAGTGGTTCTTATAACGTTGACTTGCATAATTGCATTTGTGTTTTCATGTAATTATAATAGGAACTTTATGTTTCCGAAAAGAACCATAAGTTTTTAGTGTAAATGCAGATGGAATGTGCAATGCTCTGCTTGCGCGCGTTTAACTGTGCAATGATAATGTGTTTAATGTAAATATTAGTTTATTTGTTTCCACATAGAAATGGCGTATGAAACATGTAGTAAGAACTTTTTGTTTTCTTTAAGTTGTTTAGATGTAAACGTAATCGTAGTACATACGTGATGGCTTTGAAAGCTTTATGACATCTCTTTGTTGTGACTGTAAAATGTTTTTGCAGGTTGCGTTTTCGAAAGATGACATCATTTCTGAAACCGGAAAAGCAAAGATTGATAATAAACTGTTGGCAGAGGCAGTTCTTGGATCGACTACCATCATCTAACTTCTCGAGCTTGTGCCAGGAAGAAAACATAAAACATACCCATGTATATCCAGTCAAATCCTAGGTAGTAAGAAGGGAGTGATCAAATGTTTCAAAGCAGCTATTCCAAGAAATTTTTGAGGTAAACAATGTTTAATTTGCTAGATGAAGAATCCTAAGGATGTTGTGGCCTACACACATATAACTTTAGAGTGTATTTATTATGCTCTTTTACATCTCTCTTGGACTTAACTGTCTAAAATCATGTGTACAGAAAATTCCACAGGTAAAGGTTGGAAGAAGACCTGGTGATGCAAAAAAAATTTTGGGCATGTCAACTACTGGAATAGAAGAGATGTGTAGGGACCAATGTAACTACGCCATCAACGGTATGGTTCTTCACCAAACACAATATAACAGTAAAGCTAAATCCAACAACCTCCATTATTTTTCTTGGTCTCTAAGATTCATAATCATTCTGGATTTAAGCTTTGCAGCAAAAAAAAATAATATACAAATGAGACTAATGCAACTGCTTTATTTCTAACACTTATTATGATGATGTTAGCTTAACTTTTTCTTTTTGCAGATTCCAACTGTACCAGAAGCTCAAGTGGAAGTTTTTATTCTACCGTACCATTTCTTTTTTTCATAGTGATTTAAGTGTCAAAGCAGCAGTCTGAGAGTAACAAAAAAAAAAAAAAAAAAAAAAAAAAAGCAGCCTGAGATACACCAATCAAAATAGAAGACTGGAGATTAAGGAGTTTGGAGTTGCGATTAAAAGAAAATTAGGAATCAGGCTTCTATTTGGTACATTCCATTACATTAATGCAGAAAGCTACACTGGTGTCAATGCCTCACGTAGATTCCATTACACCCACGACTTGAATAAAACAGCAAGGGCAAGAAATAAAGAAGGCGATCAGAAGTCACACATGCTCTTTTCGTAAGTTTACTTTGCGGCTGTTGAATGTTGAATCAAGGTATTTATATGTCTTAGATCTTCTTACTGATTAACGAATGCTCTTTTATTTCCTTTCCTAGGCTACTAAACGTTTCACGGATATGGGGTGTGACTGTGCAAGCAAGGTAATTCACGCTAATTGTATATGTCTGTGCTGTGCATTATTTATATACCTTAGCTGGTTTCCTCAGGAGTTTAAAAACCAAAATCTAATGCAACTCCAGCTGGTAATTTTGGAATTGGGCTTAAACAGCTTCAGCTAATGTGCAAAGTTTAGAACATTGCTTCTCTTCAGCTATATGGAGACGAGCAAGCGAGTGCTATCAAAGTCAAAACCTTCTACAGAGAAGGCAATTCATATCTCAGTAGAAAGAAGAATAAGGCTGGTCAGAAGAAAAAAGTGATGCCGAGATAAGTAAATGGAGGAGTTAGTTTCCGAGAAGAAGTCTAGGCTGTATATTTTCTAGCATAAGCATATCAACAAAACCAATGGCTGTCGTCTAGCTCCTATGAACAATGAAGGAGTTAGTTTCCAGCAATGTGGCCGTCACAGATGTCTTTTGTCTCGACTTCACATAGCTTAAGAGAGAAATAATAGACTTTTCATGAATTATTTCTATGTTTTTTTCCTATTTTTGTAAAACTCCATTTTTTCCTCCAAAATGGAGTAAAAGTGATTATGGAGTAAAAATACTCCAACCCCACTCTATTTGTAACTCCATAATGGAGTAGTGAACAAACAAAAATAGATTACTCCATTTATGGAGTAAATCTCATTATGGAGTAAGAAATGAAGTGGGGTTGGAGCATTTTTTACTCCATAATCACTTTTACTCCATTTTAAAGTTAAAAATGGAGTTGGGTTGGAGATGCCCTTAGGTTGCACAAAAAAAACAAATTATATTGCCTTGGTATCGCAGTTAATTGGGTTGAATCTATGAACTTTTATAAATGATTTCAAAAATTTTAGAAATGATTTAATAATGTAACTTTTTGTTATTTAGAAATTTAAAGTATTTGTGAAAATAGTTATCTTTTAAAAATACACTTAAAAAGAGATATCAAATTTGGTGTAGAAGTTCTTAAAAGTAAAATTCTCCTAAAAAGATGATGTTCATGTCTAATTGCCGCTTCTAATATTGTTTCCCTCCATATTTTTGAATTATTTTTTTCAAAAGAAATTTGGTTTATACACTATTTATTCTTTGTTACAATAAGTTATAATAAGGGAAAATTTCAATTTTTACTTTGGTACCATTATTCATTTTTTTACCTTCTCTAATGAACATTTCAAAAATAGCTAAGTACAAGACTTCATTAAAGAGGTAAAAAACATTTATATCTTTGATCTATAAATATAAAAAAGTTACTTTAATAAATAAAATAAAAATAAAAAAGTATTTTTTTAAAGTTTTCGAATTATAACTTTTCAAACTCGAATTTTTGAATTTTTTTTTTGATTTTTTCAGATATTCTTATTGAAATTCTAAAAATTACCTTCTGCAATTCTAATTTAATTTTAAGTATTTATTTATATTTTTATTAAAATTCTAAACCTTCCTTTCTAAAATCTCACCCTTCAAATATAAACCTTAAGTCTAGATTAGTTATCTCTAATGTTATAAGTGTCTATTTATCTCTTTACAATCAAAGATAAAAATGGTTAAGGTAAAAATGAAAAAAGAGTATTAAAAATGTGTTAATTTAGACAATTTTCCTTATAATAATTGAAAATATGGTCTCAGTTTACAGAAGTCCGCCCCAAATAAGTTATAAGCTTATTTATTATAATGTGGAAGCCCCGTAGCCTAGTGGTTAAGGTTTAAAGGTTTCTACACCATGTTTGGGGTTCAAATCTCAAGCTATCCACTTTCTACATCAAGAGGGTTTAAATTCCCAAAGAATGTGAATAGAGAATTATGCAGATTATTGGAGAAAAGACTTACAAGAGATCTTCAGCATGACGCAAGACATACCGTCAGGAATAGATCTCATAGGACGGCTCAAAATGATTCAATCAGATGTGAATCCGCATAAGGCAGGTTGAATTGTCGGCTGTGATATCGTCTATGTAATATTTTTCATAGTTTATAATGCATAATTAATCAGTGTTAAAAAAACTTATTTATTATAATGTTATCAACATTATATTAGAACAAATTTACAAAAACAACATCTACACATTCTAAAAAAATCAAAGTACAAATAAATATTTTTCTACATTTAAAATATTGGTCACTAATATATATATACGTTTAACACGCTTCCAATTAAATATTATTTATAAATAAATATTTTCACTATTTAATAATGCACTATCAGACAAATCTTTAATAATTTCAGTTCTAAAACAGTTATCAATAATCAAATTTTTAAAATTACATAAATCAAAATAATAAATTCATGTACCTTACTGAACAAATTTTTTTTTGTTCTAATTTTTGTACTTATATGAAATTTTGATCCCTAAAATATTTCAAATCTTACACAGAAGTAAAGTTTGTAAAACATATTAAAAGAAAAAGGGTATAACTCAAACTACCTTCCTAATTTTACTGTGATAGTCATGATATTCTTTTTCATTTCATATAATAAAAACTTATTTGACATTAATATAATTATGTTCAAAAGTAGATAAATTCTTAAATCTAAACTAGATTTTGATCCGCGTTCGGAAAGCACGGAATTTATGTTTTCAGAAAAGCAAATTCGAATAAAGCCGTTAATTTCTATTTTCGTTGTTTCAAAAATTTATGATCTAATTAAATGAATAATTGTGTATTTATAGGATTTATAAAATTATAATACATAGATGGTTTGTTAATTATAGACTAAAATAAAAAACTAATACTTTCAAATCATGAGACTTTTTTTCTTGATATTTTGTTATTTTACTCAACTATTTTTTTAAAAATAAAAGATAATTCTTAATTTTACCAATTTTTTTAATCTATTTCTTCTTGATTTATTTGCAATGATTTAATCTGAACCAAAGATTATATCTTTCTAATCAGTTTTTCACTGATCAAATTTCATTTTTTTATTATGGATTAATGTTAATATGTTTGTTAAATACTTATAAATATTATTTTTATATAAATATTCTTCTAATAATTAGAAGTAAAATAATCAATACTTATTGAGGAAATAAAATTCATTTTTAAACATGGACATATAAATATTTAGTATGTTTTAAAGGCAACCATTAAAATATAACTGTAGTAGTAAGAGTAACTATGAGTTGTCCAACATGGAAATAAACTTCTATAATCAAAATTAAGGGTAACAATTCAACCATATATATAATTTAATAACTTTATGTAAGGAAACAAATGTATATTTACCAATAAGTTGATGAATGTATCCTATTACTGAGAATAAGTTTATATTCTCTAAGTTGTTAGATATATTAAAAAAACATAAATCTTCTAAGATATACATATTTTATATATGAAAATCAAATACAAAATATATTGGAGCAGAAGCATATAGTTTTTTCTACATAAATGATCTAAATAGTGATAGCCATTAACTGTTAAAAAATTAATTGTTGAGAAGAAACGTGAAATAATTAGGTAATGGGTTCCAAGAATCTAACTATATTTTTAACTAATTTTGAATCATAAATAAATGGTACTGGCCGTATTGTAATTTTTTGCAAAATGAAAAGAAGATTTCAAAAAATATTATATTTTAATAGTATTAACTTTTTATACCAAACAAAAATTGCATAAAAGTAAAAATACTAAGTTGTAAATGATCAAATAAACACAATTATTCTAAAAGTAAGACAATAATTTACATATGAAAAGATATGATAAAAATAATAAATTTAAAAATAATTGTCCGCACGTAGCGCGGAGAAACAATCTAGTTAGAGTAGTGGCTCCCAAGATTTTAGGAAGTACAGGGGAAGTTATAATAAATTATACTAATTCATAATTAATATATATACATCGTGCACAGATGAAAAATTAATATATGTATATAATTTTTGGACTGAACTAATACCAAATGGACATGTTCATTATTTAATAGTATTGATATTAATCTTTTAGTTGCATGATTCTCAATATTTTGATCAATATATCATAAATTGATATATTTCTATTTATGAATATTCATGAGCCATGGCAAGTCACATTTTTCATAATAACCATCAGAAAATAAGTTTGAACCCTTCAGAAAATATTTCATAATTTTGAAGGGTTCATAAACAGGACAACTCACATTTGCACTTTAGAATTTCGCAATGACGCCAGTTCTATTGTACGATTCAATCGTCTAATTTGGTCTGGATTATATAATTGATTTTAGTAAAATTTTAACATGTCAGTCTTTAATAGATTAATAAGCTAAGGGTTCAGAATATTTTTTGGAGGGTTCAGATTTTGGAGGGATATAAAACATTGTCTAAAGGTTTCGAAAACATTTTTAGAAAAATATTTTGAACCCTTCATAAATCAATCATGAACCTTTCGGGTAACAATTATGAATCATTCGGAAACCAATTATGAACACTTTAGAAATCAATTCTGAACCATTCATAACTCAATTATGAACTGTTCAGAAAAATGTTTCGGTTCTCTTTAGAAAATAATTTCGAGCCTTTTAAAATATATTTTTATCTTTTCACATCTTGTTTAAACCTTTTAATTGCAGGACTCTCGATATTTTGATTAATATATCATGAATTTATATATTATTATTATTTATGAATATTCATGAGCCACAATTTTCTAATGAAGTACTGAGACAATTATGAGCCTTTCATAAACAAATGTTTGAATCCTTAATAAATCAATTATGAACCTTTTATAAACCAAATCTGAACCCTTCACAAATTAATTCTGAACTTTTTATAAAATGTTTCTAATCCATTCAGAAAATAATTTTGCAACAAAAAAAGAAAGAACCATTCAGAAAATGTTTCATAAATTTTAGGGGTTCATAAACATGACAACTCAAATTTGTCACTTTAGAATTTTTCTGTGACGGCGATTCTATTGTACGGTTTAACTGGCTAATTTGGTCTGGATTATGTAATTGATTTTAGTAAAATTTTGACGTATGAGACTTTAATAGGTTAACAAGCTAAGGATTCATAATAAATTTTGGAGAGCTCGTAAACATTGTGTAAAGGTTTCGAAAACCCTTCGGAAAAATATTTTGAACCCTACATAAACCAATTCTAAACTTTTCAGAAACCAATTCTACGAACCGTTCAAAAAATGTTTCTGACCCCTTCAGAAAATAATTTTGAACCCTTCAGAAAATGTTTCATCTTTTCACATCTTGTTTTGAATAGCTCATCAACATGTTCAAAAATACTTATAATATTTTTATGAAGGGTTTCAAAAATGAATTCTAAGAGATGAGGAGCACGACTAAAATGTAACGTGAAAATTAATAAGT